CTCACCCAAAGATAGGTACTTGCAGGTCAGATGAATAAACTGCTGCAAGAGCCTATTTCAACCTCCTGACTGTAAAGGGTGTCTGTGGTGACTGGACTAGACTTAGACATGTAATTTTTACATGCCTAAATCTAGGTGAGACTTCTCTAATTTGCTCTGCTGAATAATTGGTCTTTAACTATGAATTGAAGAATTATCTCAAGGAAGAGTCCCAGGAGTTTGGAAACTGTAACTCAGTTATTGTAAACCACATTACCACCTTCTTTGTACCTCAGTTTGTCCATTAGTTCTTCTTATTGTTGTTGCTATCCTTCAAGGGAGAAATTTGTATTAAAGGAAGACTTGCATACTCAGAAATGATGGTGGAAATAATAAATAGAAAGGGAAAAAATAAAAGAAAGGTACAAAAGGAATTATTTTGCATCATGTGAAGAGGAAAATTAGTTAGCCATTGGAGGTTTTATATGAAGAGGAACAGCTCTAAATCTTGGAGATGAGGCTGAAAGGGAAATTCTGACTTACTGATTGCAGTAGGGTTAGAGAAAACAGGTGAAGTGGTGACTGTGCTACAATCATGGAGAAGATTTTTATGAAAATGTTTGGGCTACCTGCAATGGATAGGCTGTAATATAAAGGTCAGAAGGAACAGCAGAGGCATAACTTCAGACATGGGCAAGCAAAATACAAGATCTGGTGTTTACCTCCATGTGGAGAGAAGAAAATTATAGTTATGTCATAGAGTCTCACCTTCTCTGTCAGTTTTGTTAGTATCACAGGGAAGAAAAGGCATTCTAGACTGAATTTTATTCTTTGGTGTTCAATCCTATTTGTTTTTTTTTCTATGTTCAGCTGCTATTTTATACTTTATGATTTTGTTTCAAATTATCCCAGACTAGTGAAAAAGGAGATCCCTCAGTGAAGATATGCTATGTTCCATGGCATTTCCTGAGTCACATTTTCAGTTTCTTTCAGTTTTCTTCTTATTATTTACAACATCTCCAGAATGATAACATGAAATAGAGCTGTAATATACATAATTTTATTTGAAGTGTGTTTTGATGAACTAAAAATTTGAAATGTGAGTGTCATAAACCAAGTTATGGCATAAGATAATATTCATTGTACACCAGGAACTCACACTGAACTCTTCTGGAGTCCTAGGCTCACTGAGCATATGAAACTATTTAATGTCTTGAAAAAAAATAAGTACCTATGGATATATTTTTAACTGAAGGTGATTTATATGATTTATATGATATTTAAGAAAATCAGGGTTTATTCAGTCATATGAGTGGAGAGACCAAAACTCTGAAATAAGAGACTTACTGCAGAGATCAACTATCTGTGTGTTGGACCATACAGTTGAGTCTTTTGCTGTGCCTAGGGTAGTCTGAAGATGATCTACAGTGACTTGTGTACTTGCTGATGCACAATTCTTTTCTGGATTGCATGGCAAGCTGTTGGCAGTTGCGGGGCTGCAGGGCTGGCCTCTACAAGGAAAGGGCATAGCCAGTTCCAGTTGGACTCACCTCGGCCATAGCCCAGTACATCATCCCGGTGTTGTTACATGGAAACGAGCTTCACATTGATGGCCTGTACACGTTAAGGTATCCCGTAATCAAACCATGAAGCCACAAGGTCCAAGGACTGGTATCTACACGCCAGCATTCAGACAACAGATGGAGGCTGGGTACAGAGAATATCCCAAGAAAAAAATTAAATGAAGCAAAGGAGGTGGGGTCATTCCCTCTTTCTTGCACATGTGTTGCTGCTTCTTTATTCCTTATATTGTCAATTATAATTCTACTTTCAGGGAAAGAGATGGTTACTTAGATGATAGGAGAAAGTCTCTATTTTTTTTTTAAATGCTCATCTGCAGTTAGTGCAGATAACCCTTACCCATAGCTAAAGCAAGTCAAACAGTAAAGAAATTTGAAAGCAAATTGAAAACTCTTGACTAATCTGATTTTTGGTGTATGAAGTCCTAGGTGCACTCATACACATATAGATAACTACACATTTAAATTATCATGTCGACTTTATCGATATGTGTTAGAAGGGTAATTCCCTGTTGTACTTACAATGGCGATTCATTCTACTGCCTATTCTCAAAAGATTTAATATTTTTTGAACAAGCATTTGCAAAGTTTGGAGGTTTTCCTGTGATTTTTTGCCTCCACTGCCTTTTGACTTCAGTGCTATATGAAAATATATGTGCATTTAGATGCTCTCTCAAAAATACATTATGATCATTACCTGTTCTATCTTTGAATGAGCTATAATCTAGTATGCTGTGACCCACTTTTGTATCAGACTTAGCAATAACATATAGTACAGATAAACTGTAATTGGCTTGACACTTCAATCTAAAGAGTTGTAAAATGTGTCTTTGGTTTTTAGTAGCTAGGAAAAAAATTCATCTCCAACTAGCAATGGAGTCATGCTTGATGTCATTAGAGATCTATATTTCCTGTCTGACAGATTTTAATGCCTCTTTTTTATTATTAATGAGGTATAAGGTAAAATTCAGAAAAGTTATCTCAATGGCTTTGCAATCTAAGTATCACTGAAAGTCAATTTAATATATTAATATAATTGACTGAAAGTCAATTTAATATTATAACTTTTGAAAAATGAACTTACAGGAAACTTGTTTCTGTCTACTTTGTTACTTGTTGGAAAGATGTGCAAGCAAACTTGCTGTCTACTCCCTTGACCAGAAAAAAATTTAATGACTGTAGCACTTCCCACAGTTTAATAAACATAAAGGTGTTTAAATCAAAGCTTCCTGTGATCTAAGTAGGTTAAGTACAATTAAACAGACTAAAGTAACAGTATTCCTCTAGAACCCCAGATGGAAAGCCCCCAAAACTGATTTTCCATATACATGACCATATGGTGTGTTTTGAAAGCTACCAGACCAGAATTGCTTCTGAGTGGGGACGGCTTAGATTCATTTTGAAGGTGCTTTAAGAGAATACACCTCATCACCAGTCTTCTCTCTTCTTGAAGTGAGGGGCACCAGCCTGAATTATTCTGATAAAGAGAGATGCAGAAGTACAGTCTGATGACACAGGTGATCTCTTGAGCTGCATTGCAAACAGCACCATTTTTCGCTACGCTATTAAATGGGAAAGAAAAACTATTCATGCGGTAAATTGAATCAGGGTAAATTATTAATAAACTATCTTAGTTCTATGCTTCCCTTTGTTTTATTTGTTTGTTGTTTTGGTTTTTTTTAAAGAAGGACTTATGTCTTCCCTTTATCCCCATAAATAATTTGTAGTAAAAGCTGATTGACAATTAAACATTTCAATTCTGCTATCAGTCTTCTCTGTTTCTTCAGTGTTTCAAAAGTTTGCTGAAATCAACCGTTTTCCTGTCCTTACTCCTTTTCAGCAAGGAAATTGGTTCTCAGACGTTTTATCCCTCATTTCTGGAAATACTGTAGAATAACACATCGGTCACTGACATTCTCCACATATTTTTGTAAACACATGCAGTCCCTCAATTACCTGCATGCTGAGTGGAAATTGCCTAAATGTTGCCTACATATATTTTAGGATTTTGAAAACATCACAGACTAAGTTTTTATGTAATGGCTGTACAATGCATTCAAAACCCTGTGGATACCATTACAGAGTTTTTGCCTTGATTTTTATCTTCCTCATTCCTTCCTTCTCTGCTAATCCCCCACAACCAAAACAAAACCATAAACAAACAAACAAACAAAATCCAAACACCACAACAAAAGAATCTTGAGATAAACAGTAGTAGGCCATTTACAGATGTATTATTGCAACAACTGTCTGTTTTATTAGAATAAATACAAAGTTAGTAGTCCTAGTGGTACATACTAAGAATTTCACATAGGGATTGAGCACAAAATGCTGTGTTTTGCACACAGACTGTTTGCTCTTGAGGTCCCACAAACAGAATTTTAAGGGCTTAAGGTGAATTAGACATCTTTTGTTTACCCTCTAAAATCAAAACACGTTACTAAATTGTCTGTTTGGTGGAAATCCTGGACAAATATAATCTCTACTAAATGTATACTTAAAACTAAATTCTAATTAAAATCAGTTTTATTTACCCCAGTTGTAGACACTTCAATTGCATACTAGCTTTAGTTCTGTCAGGGGGCCGTGGGAGCTGCAGAGAGCTGCTCCTGAAGGTGCAGCGTAGCGTTCCTCGGCAGAGATCGCCCCTTCCCCTCAGGAGCGCCAGGCCCCTCCTGCGCTCCCTCTCTCTGTGCACAGCACCCGCAGGCAGACATTTTCGGCGCGCCGTGTAAGCAGCGGTGCCCGATGGCTGATGCTCCGATCACATCCTCACGGGAGTCGCTGTCTGGCAGCTCCGCCGCGGGCACCGCCGTCGATGCGGCACCGCTTTATCGGAGCAGTTCCCGCATCCCAGCGAGCCGCGGGGCACGGGGAGGGAAGAGAGCAGCGGCGGGAAGGGCCGGGCAGCGCTGCCGCCTCCGCGGCTTCACCACCACGGACAGCGCCCGGCGGGCGGTGCGGGGCGGGGAGGTGGGCGGGACAGCCGCGCACAGGCAGCCGTGGGGTCACGGCGGGCAC